TCATGTGTGGGGCGGGGGGAGGAGACCAGTCTTTCTGGCTTGGGCTTCCCTCTGTATATCTGAAGCTTGTAGTTGGTAAACTCCCTACAGTTCTGGAGGGTGGGGGATCCACGGTAGAGGGGTCATCACTGCCGCTGTCTTTGGCTGGCAGGACCCTGCAGTTCTGAGGTGACAGGATCCTATGGTGAAGGGACCTGTGATCCTTTGTCCTATGAGAGACAAAGCCTCTCTAGATGACCTGGTAGCTTCTTGATCTACAATGGGTTAATCACCTCCACATGCCCTTCTTAGTTCTGATGATTCTCAACATGGGCTCTGTTGGCAGCACACAGTGCTATTGTCTGAGCTGTGGTTATCTGGACTGCCACACAAGTATGGATGGGGAAGGGGGGTGGCCTGGGTCTAAATGCCAGCCTCACTGCTTAATACCTCTGTAGGCCTAGCTAGGAAGCCAGTGTTACCAAGTGCCTCAGTGTCCTCCCCACCCAAGATGGCGACAGTCAGACCTACTGCACAGAGGTATTGAGAGATGATAGGTTGAAGCCCCTGGACATAGGCGGCCTCCAGTGAATGTTCAGTTAGTGCCCATTGCCTCAACTTCCCTGAAGAACAAGGTGATTGTGGCTCCCTGTTCTAGCCAAGGATCCTTGGGGACTGTTTACTCCACCTCCTGCATCTTGTTCTGTTTAAATTGCTCTTAATTACATGTGATGATGAATTAAGCAATACAAATTTGTTTATGACGTTAAGAGCACCTCTCCCCACCTACCCCCCAGTCCCCAACTTGCCCTACCTAAATCATGGCCGTTTCCACTTCTTCTCTTCTCTCCATGACGCTTAATAGAAGACAAGCTGTCCAACAACTTCATGTGGTATTTTGGGACTGTCTGGTTAGAAGGATGTGGTTCCAGCTCATTGCTGCTGCCCCTCGCTTCCTCCCCCATCCTTCCTTGTAATCGTAGTGGATGCACCAACCTCCAATAGCTTCTTGTCGCACTGTGATTTGGATTATGACTGTTCCAAGAAGACACTAAGACTCGGGAAGGTGAAAGTCCCAAGTGTCGCAGCTCTTGCTGCTGACAGCTGCCCTCTTGTGTTACCACAGCAATGTGGGTTGTTTTTTATTTATATTTTGTTCTGCATCAGTGATTTGCCACTAAGTGTGACCTAAAACAAAATCAAATACTACTTACTCTATACCTATGCAAACAACATTCCTGACTGAGCCTAGGATCCATAGCCTTCTCACGAGCAGGACACCAGGGGCTACTGATTTTAAAATTATTAGTTGCTTTAGAGGTTTTTTTTTTCTCCTAAGGTTAGTTTTCAGAGTACTATATAGTTGATGTAGAAAATGTAGTGATTATACATATAGGTTTTTAAAAAAAGGAAGGAGAATGGGGGGTGCAAAATGTAAAAATACCTGAAAACACCACTATATGAAGCATTTGTTAAAAATATTACATAGTTCAGATCGAAGAGAACTTATTTCCATAAATTAATAATTAAGAACTTATTTCCATCATTAATAAAGAGAAACTTCCAGGCCTACATAAGAAGACCCAAACTCAGGGAGATTCTGTTATGTTTCAAATCTCTCACATGCCTGCTCATCTAATTTTTTAAAAAATTCTTCAAGACAGGGTCTCCTGTAGTCCAGATTGGCCTCAAACTAGCCACGTAGCCAAGGATGACCTCCAACTCATAATCCTCCTGCCTCCACCTCCCAAGCACTTGGATACTAGACAAACACTCTGTTACCTAAGCCATATCCCCAGGCCCTGAACCTTCAGCTTTTATTCTGTGTGATGATTGATCACTTACAATATACCCAGCACCATGCTCATCTTTGGTGGCATAGTGAAAAATGCACTAAAACATATAAAGGAAGGTTGTCTCCACTTTATGGAAGTTGGATTCCAGTGAGAGGTAGATATTCATCAGTCCAGAAGTGTCCTTCTGGGGATGGCGTTGGAATTGAGAGCTGACGGAGGGACATTCACAAAGCAAAGGAGTCAGCGGAGAGAGGTGGGTTCAGGAGCACACCAGAGAAGAGAGCAGACCTTCTGTGTTGGACAGGTGGTTACAGAGCCAAGACCACTGCAGGGCGGGCGTCACAGGCCAAGAAAGGACCCTGTCCAGTGGGGAGTGGCCTGGCGGGCTCCTCGTAGATGCTTTGAGATCCTGATCAGAGGAGCGGGAAGCCAGCCATCAGCCTGAGCTCCACAATGGAAGCTTGTTCTGTTCTTCACACAGGCCTTTGTCTGTACGCAATGCCTGTTTCTATCTGTGGCAATGACCTCAGCTAATGAACAGCGAACAAGTACCTCCCACACAAGGTGTGTAGCCACCTCATTATGCAAATGGCGACTTAGTTCCTCCTCTGGGAAGTTCTACCTCTCTCCGAAGGCTATCTACTCCCCACTCGCCTTCACACCTTCCTAGCCAGACCGCACGACACAGTAGATGACATCCAAGGAGGACACCTCCATCCAAGCTTCCCTTGTCCCCTAGTTTGCAAATCTGGGGAAGAGCTGGCTTCACAGTGGGAAAGGGACATGCCCTCATCTCCCCCAGAGTCAAAGTTCACTGTGTAAGATGGACTGAGCTACCACGTTGTTTATAGATCCGCCTTGTCCTCCCTCTGAGTTCTCCCTGGCTCCCGAGATTAGTTTATCCACACAAATGGAGTAGGTACTTGGCGGTTCAGGCAGTGGACAGCCAGCCTTCCGCCAATAAGGCATGCCTAAGGGCAAGGAGACTTTTTGTAAGAAAGCCAAGACTGTGTGACGTGTACTTGCAATAACTGAAATAGCTCCTCTCTACACGTAGAATGACATCAGTACTTAAACTATGCCATTAAGGCCCCACGTGATGTCATTGCCCCACCACCACCACCTTTAGGACCTCATGCAGTGTGTACTGTGAATCTTGGTGGCTCTACTCCCGTGTGTTCGCTGCCCACGGCCTTTGCACTGGAATACTCTGCCCTAATCTATGTGACTGGTTTACCCCATGCCCAGCCTCTGCTCAGCTTCTACTCCCTCCTAAGGATTTTTCCAAGTGACCCAAATGAGCTCTTGCCCGCTCTGTTCCTCTCGTGAGCGATCACGATTGGAAATTTTCTTTGTGTTCCTAAGTCTCTACAGGAATTTAAATGGCATGAGAGCAGAGGTCTAGTCTAACTTGTTCCACGTCATATCTGCACAGCCTAGAACTGTGCCTGGTGTTTAATAAATGTCTGTTGGGTGGATGGATGGATGGACGGCAGTCTTCTCATGCTTAGATGACTATCCTGCGGACAGATGACTTCATTTATTCATGTGGGGTAACAAACATTTACCCCACCAAAGTGATTATTGATAAATTGTCATATAAAAGGCATGTAATCATAAATTATTGCTGGGACTAAGATAAAAACAGAGGTACTTCATCACGGCCCTGAAATAGTATTACAGTAGGCAGTGAGGAAAGAGTCAGGAGACATGGGCCAACCAAACAGAAGTTCACTGCACTTGAGAGGTGAAGAACTGAAGGAAGATTCATGTCCCATTCCGTGAGCAAGCCAGGCAGAGGATGAGGGGAGACAGTCAGCCTTAGAGGGCCGGACAGGAACAGCCCAGTGAGGACTCCAGCAAGGGCCGAGTAGCTGTCTGGATGGAAGCGAAGGGTTGATAATTTGTGGGTACTGAGTATTATCAAGTGATGGGAGCCGGCAAGATAAACAAGAGAGAGAAAATCAACATTGAGGGATAGTCAAAAGCATCACGTGCAGGGACGCTGAAAGTGGGGGATGGAAGGGATGTGAACTGATCTACAGTTTTCAGGCATGTATTTCAGGGTTCCCATCTCACTGCTGCTCTTCAGATGCCCAGGATGGGAGAGCTCCATCCATACTTGGGGTGGAGGAAGTCCGAGAGCACCCATATCTTGAGTTTTCTTCTATCTCTTACGAGTTAAAGTTCGAATGCATCCGGGGTCTCATGTCACGCAGTGCCCACAATTGAAAGAAGAGGGAGACAAGTAGAGGCCTGTCCCTAGCCGCTCTCCCTGCGTCGTGCTGAAGTCAACCACCAGAGGCTGCTCATTAAGCCTGTTAGCCATGTCTTCCCTTTAGTCCTAACCAACTTTGTCCTCCCAACACCGTGGTATAGACTTCCTTTTATTTGTAAATGTGCTCTTATGTCTTACTTGTTCCCATCAAAAGCTGTCTGACCTAGGTTCTAGTTTCTCTTCTGTCATTGGTTAGTGGCTAAGGTGACAAAAACTAATCCAGACACAGACCTTTGCCCAGTCATTCTGGATTAACAGAGGGCAGGATTGATCCAAGTGTCTCATGTGTGCACACACACACATGCAGGCGCACACACGCATGCCAGTGGCCAACCTCAGATGTCATTCCTCGAGAGCAGTCCACCTTATTTTGGGGGTAAGGTAGCTCGCTCAGGGGCCCCAGGGATCTGCCTATTTCTGCCCTCACCGTTGCTGGGATTACAGGCACAAATGACCACACTTGGCATTTTACCTATGTGGGGGGATCAAGCTTAGGTCAAGCACTTTACCCACTGAGACGTCTTCCCCTCCCCACCCCCTACTGTGTCCTAGAGATCCTCTTTAATCCTATAGAACTCATCGCCAACCAACCAGAGTCTGGTAGCTCTCAGCTTTGTCTGGTCCCTCTATCATTCATTCACCTTACCTCATCAGCAAAGTCCTTGTAAGATGACGCTAAAGATGTGTAGAGCTCTCATGAGCTGGGACTTGGCTATAGGTTCTGAATTCTCTGTCCTCACAACCACCCAGTGAACCACATTCTGATCTCATTCTCATTTTGAAAATCGACTCCGAGAAGCCAATTAGTTACCAGGATCACACTGCCAATAAAGAGAATACCCAGAGTATGAGCACTGGCGCCAGCAGAGCTGGGGCCGAGATTTTCGGAAGGAAATCCTTCTAATCTGAGGTGAAAATTGTTCTCTGTCCCTCCCTCTTCTCTGCAGTCTCAGGAGGAAGTCTGTGATCTGCTTCATGCTGCACCCTTCCAAAACATTCTGCCCAGAGTCTACATCAAAGGTAAGAAACCACCACCAGCGCTGACAGCCCTCTTCCGTGTGAATTCATGCTCACCTTTAAAAAAAAATACTGTGTAAGTATGGACACACGTGTGCGGTAGGCTGCACCTGGAAGTCAGGACCACCTCAGATGTCATCGTCACCTCCCAGTCTGTTTGGAACAGGGTCTCCTGGTTGGTTGCCGCTGCGTGTGCCAGGCTAGTTGGCCTGCAGACTTCTAGGAAGTCTCCCGCGTCTACCTCTCGTCTTCACTGTGGGGGTGCTGGGGTTACAGGCACATGCACTTTGTCCAGCTTTTATATGGTTCTGGAGATTTGAACTCAGGTCCTCACACTTCCCCAGTCCATCCCAGTGAATTCAGACTGCAGTCATCCAGGAAGGAGTTTCATGTTTGGGATGCCTGTGGAATCATGAAGGGATTGGAAATAGTACTCCAAGCCTTGCTCCTTCGAAGCTAGCCTTACTGTGCAACTCAATCTGGCCTTGATTCAAACTCAATTGAGAGGGAACTCCCCATTTCACTAGACATATACTTCCATTATTGATCCAAAGATTCAAGGTCACAGGGGGATAATCCTTCATTAATGAATTCTCATCGCAGGCTCCAGAACCAAGGAGGAAGTTCGGCACACTCCATCCTAGTTTGGAGACACGGTGACAGCATCAGGTCCTCTGAGAAGTCTTCTTCCTCTGGTCACACACTCACTTTCTGTTCCTTTGCCCCTTCTGCAGAGGGGGAGCGCCTAGAAGTCCGGATGAAGCGTCTGGAAGCCAAGTACGCCCCACTTCACCTGGTCCCCCTGATAGAACGGCTGGGAACTCCTCAGGTACAACCCATGTCATGGGCCCAAAGGGTCCCAAGAATGGAGTATTTGGGGCCCAAATTCCTCATTTTACAGATAGGGAAACTATCACATCCCTGCCAGGTACCAAGAATTCTGTAACACTATCAAAATTAGAATTTCACATACTCTGAGTCTACAGTTCACATCTAGATATTTTTCTCAAACTCAAGATCAGGAGAAACTGTGGTCCTGTGGTTGGTTTGTCTGAGGTGTTAGCTCAGTAGAATGTGGCATTTTATATAAGTACTCTGTACTTGAAGATGCAGCATTGTTAAATACATAATAATAGAAAGGAAAAATTAAAGTGCATCAATCAATGTGGCTAGATCTTAAATTCAAGTTACATTTCACATAGGGTTTTCAAAAACATTCATATACCAAAAGCATGTAAGTAAAATGTCCCCTGAAAACTTCCAGAATGTTCCAATTTTTGGAGTTAGGGTTTCTGTTGTTGTGACAAAACACCATGACCAAAAGCAAGTTGGGGAGGAAAGGTTGATTTGGCTTACACTTCCATATCCTTGTTTATCATTAAAGAAGGAAGTCAGGGCAGGACTGTGGAGGCAGGAGCTGATGCAGAGGCCATGGAGGGGTACTGCTTACTGGCTTGCTCAGCCTTTCTTCTTTTTTTTTTTTTTTGAATGCCGAATGCTGTTTATTGAAGGAGGGAGGAGGTCTTAAATACAGGCTTACAGCACAATGGGAGAACCCTGGAGGGCAGAGGTTCACTACGGATGTTTTACAATATTGCATCTAAGCTGTTAACGCCCAATATGCAGGATACACAGACAAGGAACTTCCCTTAGGCATTCAGGAGGGTGGAACCGGGCAGGGAATTAGCATAGGGAGGATATCAAGGTCAATGTCAGCAAGCAAGGCAACAGTTACCCAAAATGGGGGCCAGGGCCCTACAGGTCCCCCTTTTACTAAAAAATGAGCTTCTGACTTAGGTTGCATGGGACATCAGCAGGTCACCTTACCCATCAGGGAGATGCCTGCCCAGGCCACACAGGCGCTCTGTCTTAGGTTGGTGAGCACCCCTGCTTTCTTATAGAACCCAGGACCACCAATTCCTAGGATGGATGGCTCCACCCACCATGGACTAGGCCCTCCCCTATCAACCACTAATTAAGACCATGCCCTTATGCGGGCATTTTCGCAATGGAGGTTCCCACCTCACTGATGACTTCAGCTTATGTCAAGTCGATATAAAACTATCCAGCACACCAGTTCACCATGGTAAATTCTGAAGAAAGGTGGAGGTAGGGACTGGTTGGGAGGACGAGGAATCAAAGGCAATTTGAGTTTTATTTATAATGTTCTAATATCTTCAAAGTTACCTGGGCTCATGTTGAATCTGTAAACATGAACTTTTGAAAAATGGTACCAGTTACTGTGGACACCGAATTGTGTAGGGAGGACTCCTGCCTTCAGAGCACTGAGATTCTATAGGGAGGCGGGACAGAAGTGAAATAGGGGGAGAGACTCCCAAATGTCTATTTCTGTTTCCAGTTGATTTAAGTGAGCCTCCCATTTGGAGGTAGGCAGGGATGAGGTGGCACCAGACACCGTACACGTAACCCAGCTGCTTTGTGTTGCTGGCCACACTGACTATTAGAGCAGTTCAGGATTTAAAGCCACCCTTGGACTCGTGTTCCCTTCTGGGGTCATCCCCATAGTCAGAAGAACCCACACTCTCGGTAGAGGGCAAGAGGTAGCCACTCTCCACGATGCCGAGCCCCACCTGCACACGTGTCAAACTGAGAAGCTACCCACATCAGGCTCCCACTGCAAACGGTGACTAAACACAGGAGGCATTTGGGTCTTGGGCTCATAGAGAATTCAGACACTGGAGAGAGTCTTTCCATTTTTTTGGCAGCAGAAGTTGAACAGAGGAAATCTTCAAAGAGGATTTCCTTTTAGGGAGAAATCTTCCAAGCCAGTGGCGTGCCGGCTGCTCCCAGGGTGTCATCCTGCAAGAATCCATCTTCTGGAGCCTGGGGGGCTTGGCATGGGTTTCTACTCACGGCTGTGCATTCCTTCCCCATTCTGGTGCACACCATTTCCTCGGGACTGATAGAAATACCAATTTATCCAGTGTTGAGTCAGTCTCTGACAAACAGGAGCCCAGTGAGTGAGGTCGTGCCAGTTCGAGAAGTTGCCCACTTCTCAAAGGATACCCCAACACTACAGTCAGATCAGCCTGAAAGTAGACTCAGGGGTCACTAGGGACTGGGAAAGGAGGCTGGAGGAAAGATTGTAGGGTAGGATCAAGGTACATGTGTGCAGATAAAAATGTGAAAAAGAAAACTAAACTAAAAAGTAGAACTTGGGGGCAGTGAGATGGCTCAGTGGTTAAAGGCACTTGATACCAAGCTTGCCGGGCTGAGCTTGATCCCAGCCATATGAGGGAAGGACGGACTCTTGCAAGTTGTCTTCTGAGCTCTATACATGTGCCAAACCACATGTACACACGCACACTAAATGCATACATACAACACACATAATAAATACAACTTCATCAGCCCATGGGCCAAAGAAATGCTAACAAGTTGTAAACACTGAAGCTGGTCACTAGATCTTCTCGGCCGGATCTTGTGTGGTGTCTGGGTCAGTGACAGGCAACCGTCATGGCAGATTTAAAGCAGGGAAGTCTGAGCACTGTGGTGTTTGCATTTGTTTCTGAACAAACTGAGGTGACCTGGTTTTCAGCCAGCACCATTGTCGTAGCTCTACCCTGGAGTATCACATAGTCTCACATGAAACATTTTCTTTCTCTGCCTTTGTTTTCCCATCTATGAAATGGGGTGGTAGCTGTTTCACCTCCTTAGCTGGCCTACATTTTTAAAATTAGTATCCTTTAGACTGTGTTATTCCATTGACAGCTGGGAAGATCATTCCCAGGTTGACAAAGGGTCGAGCCACTCATCAGGGAAAGAAGGTGTCTTTGCTGATATCCCCTTTAGTAAAAATCCTTGTGTGCCATGTTTTCTTCCCCAGAGTCTCATTGTAGTTGTTCCTGTCTGTTCTCTGAGTTTGCCCGCACTTTCAGGGCTCTGCCTTTTGAATGTTACAGAGGAAACAGCAGGAAAGCCTGACCTCACGGATGTGTGCAGGAAAGCTAGCGAATTTACACACACAGTGTGGTAGGGTCTGCGTTTCTTGACTATTAAAGAATAAATCAGAATTCCAAAAGATGCAAAGGGCCAAAGAAAAGAATATTGAGAAGCCATGCATGTGATCAGGTATTTCATGTAAGATCTATCTTCAGCATCATCCTCCATACATGACAACGAGCCACAAGCCAGCACATTTGCGTCAAGCACTAGATGGCCTTTTTTTTTAATGTAAAAAGAAAATGAGGGTAGGATGATCATTCACAGGGTGACGTGCTTTCCGTGCATACATGAAGACCTGTGTTCGGATCCCCAGTACCCATGTAAAAGCCACGGGTGGTGACACACCTATTACCCCAGCAATAGAGGAGGGGACAGACAGATCTTGGGGGCTTACTGGCAGCCAGTGTAGCCAATACAGTGAGCTTCTGGTTCAGTGACAGGTCCTATCTCAAAAAGCAAGCAGAGATCAGATGAGGGTACCCAAAGCTACAGCCAGGGAGTGGTGGCGCTCGCCTTTAATCCCAGCACTTGGGAGGCAGAGGCAGGCAGATCTCTGTGAGTTCGAGGCCAGCCTGTTAGACACAGTGAGTTCCAGGACAGCCAGGGCTACACAGAGAAACCCTGTCTTGGAAAAAAATTAATAACAAAAAGGTACCTGAAGCTGACCTCTGACCTCTACATACATGCACATAGGCAAAGCACACTTGCACACACAAAAAGGCAAAGAAAACTCACATTTAAAAAAAAAAAAAGTCAACAAACATAGAAAAAGTTCAACGTTGCCAGCAATCTGAAGCGCATACCCTGAGGTCAAGGTAGATTCCATCTCTCCGTTTGGTAACGGCCTTCTTCTTTAGAGCACATTGACTGGTGGGGGTACAGGAATGGGCTTCACCTGGGAAGTTATCGGGGCAGCTTTGTTGAGACTCACTATCCTTTTAAAGTAATTACATTCTCTGACCCCTCGCCCCCACCAGCTAGGGTTTATCCAACATGACAATGTTCACAGAGTGTTAGGTATACGGGCAATTACTTTAGGATTGTCCCCAACACTAAAGATTTATGGACAACTTAAAATAACCAGCAAGGGTAGAGGACTGAAGACATTTATCAGAGGCTGTTTTTAGATAGGCATCTAAAGACCATGGCACTGAATGTATTATGGAAATGAGTGTTTAAATTAGAGATGTGCTAAATGAAAACGTAGTATAGATAATCCGTTATATACATGCATGTATACATATTCATAAATTTGTATTTTAAGAAAGCTCAGCTCTGGGTAATGGGATAAGTGAAATATTATCTCATATGTTATTTAAATTTTTCCCCTAAATTTTACCCAGTGAATGCATATTACTTTTACGGGTCACAGAAAGAAATGGAGGGGTGAAAACTTCAGAGGAAGGGGACAAAGCCCCTTCCATTGTCTCTGATGGATGGGGAGCTGAAGGTGAAGCCGCGGGCTCTGTAAAGTCATTTGCCAGTATTTCTCCCCACTCACCCGCAAACTAGGATTCTCAGAGGCTGCCTGCACAGACAGACAACAGATTAATAGAATACCAGAAGTCTCTCACTTTGCTGATGAGAACATACATGGGTCCTTTGTTTACTGAGCATCTCCAGGGTATCAGACAATTGTTCTTAACATGTGGAGAGCTGAGCAGAACAGAATCAAGTACCAGGTTTAAGGTATCTTCGAGTGCTTTTTTCTAGCTACCTGGGGCAGCTTGAGTGGTCTTCTGTGTCAGCCTGTGGAATCAAGTTGATGCGCCATGAATCAGGGCGCCCTCCCCTTTGTGTTTTAAACGTACGTACGTCCACCAACTCTTCTCCAACTCATTTTCTTCCAAGGCCTTTTCATTGTGTGGTTGCCATGACAACCACACTCATGGCCCAGGTTCATCACAGGCTGTACTTCCCGACTCCTTTCCTTCCCTGGATTTACTTAGAGGCTGCCCTTTTTTTTTTGCGGGGGAGGGGAAGGTCTCCAAGGAAGAGAGTATTGAGGGAGAGGTCAGGTGGTACCTCCCGGCCCCACTACAGAATGCGCTGTCCTCCCCCAGAACCCATCCTCCCACTGGGAGCTGATCCCACGTGTGTCCTGTGAATCTGGCTGTCTTAGCCAGCTCTCCTTAGCTTTGTTCCCAGACGAGAAGACCCGAGTTTGACCTCAGATTTTAATATGTGCTTTGCAGATGGCTTTCAGCACCTTTGCTCTTAGATGTTTTCACTCACAGCACAGACAGTTGCACAAGACGGTCGTGTGTTTGATGTGCCTGTGTGCCTGTCTGATTACTCGATCCACAGTAGCCAGGACCAGATGAGAAGCCTGTTTGAATTACTAATAGAGACCATTCACCATTGTCAAAGAAGGGTTTCTAACAAGAGAAAATAACTCTGTGAAGTCAGTGGCAAATTTTAAAACGGTAACATACGCTCCTAGCACATTCCACTGTATAAAATTATTTTAAAAGTGAAAAGCTCACCCATTTTCCCCAGCCCATCTGCACCCACGCCTAACTTGACTCCTTCTAAACTGTTTTCTACATGAACACACACACACTCCCCACGCATGTTCTCTTCATCTGTGGAGTTGTGCTGGTGTTTGATAGGATTGTAGTAATGTCACTTTCTCCAACTTGCCGAATTCACTTCCTAATTTAACTTGTAGATCTGAGCTACGCTGAGCAGAATCCAAGCTTTATACCTTTGAGCCTCAGTTTTCTTTGTCTGTGAAATAGAAATAATAATGTGCCCGTAGAATTGAACAGAGTCATTGCTCATCAGGAGCCCGGTGTGCCACACACTAGTAGTGTTACATTATAAATAGGACTGCTTCTGACTTGTGTGTACCCAATTAGCCATCATGACCTCTCCAGAGCCTCGATTACAGGCACATGCATCATGCCTGGCTGCTTTTCATGGGTTCTGGAAGACAGAACTTGGATCCTTGTACTTGCACTGAGCCATGTTCTCAGCCCCAACCAACCTTTGAAACCAGTATGTTTTCATGTAAAAATCAGTCTTCTACTGAGGGTGCCTGGATTTTACTTGCCATGAGTGACAGTTACCCTAAGGCTTCCATGCCCTCAAGTTCTTCTTACAGCCAGTGAGTGCCCTGCTCTGGGCGGGGTAACCAGTCCTGGTGAACAAGTTCTAGATGTGGCTAGCACCGGGGCTCTCCAGTGGAGGTGGGGCAGATGGGATCTCAGAGGTGGATGTCAGGTTTAATCCCTTCCCATCCCAGCAAATCGCCATCGCTCGGGAAGGTGACCTGCTGACCAAGGAGCGGCTCTGCTGTGGCCTGTCCATGTTCGAAGTCATCCTGACCCGAATTCGGAGCTACCTGCAGGACCCCATCTGGAGGGGCCCGCCACCCACCAATGGCGTCATGCATGTGGACGAATGTGTCGAATTCCACCGGCTGTGGAGTGCCATGCAGTTTGTCTACTGCATCCCTGTGGGGACCAACGAGTTCACAGCTGAGTAAGTGCACCCCCCCAGCTACCTGCCCCTCCACTTCTCTCACCGCTGGGATGCCTAGGGCTAGCCAGAAAGAACAGGGACTGAGATGGCATGAACAGTCAGAGAAAACGTACTGGTCGTGGTGCCAGTGCTGGGCATGGCAAAAGCGGACTGTTCTTGGCCTCCAGAGGTTAAAAGGTACAAAGAGAATATGGAAGCACATATGTCAAGGTGTCACATGGGGCAGGATGCAGACACCAGAGAATGGAGCTGGGTGAGGTGTCAGACCTGAATTCTCGGACAAGAATTGATCCCCTGGGATGGGATCTGTGCAGGGGAACAGAAAGTCCAGACAGTGCGTAAATGTCTGTCAGCAGAACTGGAGCTCAAGAGTGAATGTTGAGAAAGGGCCCCATGAATGTCAGCCTTGGGAACCTCACCCTCCACCTCACCCCTGCCAAACGCCACTCTTAGGAAAAGAGGAGACTTTGGATCTCCCAGTCCTGTCGGAGAGAAGAGGAACAGAGTCCCCTCCTCCTTCCTGCACCCATCTAGCTTCTTGCTGAGGGTAGGGCGGCAAAAGTGACCAGCTGGTCCTTCTGGAACCAACAGCAGTTAAGGAAGGGGTGGGGAGGGACTGAGCAGGGTTTCCTGAGGAAGTAGTTCTGGAATGGGAAGAGAAAGACCCGCAAGCTGTGGGGCTATGTCCTTCCAACCCTGTGACAGAGACGCAGGGGACCTACCCAGGGCAGGCTAGGCTACTAACTTCTGAACAGGGGAAGTGACATAAGGGTGACCCTACAGTCCTCCACGTCTCCTGGGAATCGAGGCCCACAGTAGGGCTTTAGGAAAGCCCCATGAATTCTCTGGGCCTCCTGTATGAGGAGCATCTGATCCCTATGGCCCGCCATGTGAGTCTCAAAGGCTAGTTAGAGTCGAGACGGCTCAGGGCAAGCCCGAAGGACCAGAATTCTACTCTCCAGAAGCTATGTTTAAAAGCCAAGGGAGGAGCTGGAGAGATGGCTCAGTGGTTAAGAGCACTGTACTGCTATTGGCAGGGGATGAGAGTTCAGCTCCCAGCACCCACTGTAGAAGGCTCCCAGTTGCCTGCAAGTCCAGACCTAGGAGGACCCGTTGCCACCGGCCTCTGCCTTCTGTGGGCACCTGCACATCCATGCACAGACACATGGTTAAAAATACACATTTCAGAAAAGCCAAGTGAGGCCTTATGCACCTAGAATCCTGACATTGCAGAAGCTGAGGCAGGGGGATGCCTGGAAGCTCATCGCCCAGCTAGTCTCACACTGCATTGGCAAGCCAAATTTAGGGAGAGACCGTTTGAGGAAAATAAGGTAGAGAGTGACTGAGGACAGGACCCGACGTCAGCCTTCACGCGTGTGTGCGCACACAGTCTGGTGGTGGTCTTTGTAAAGTCATCTTTTCCTCCCAGCGGACGGTTGTTACTCTGGGCTCAACGCCCCTCTGTGGTTGAAAGGACTCCCTAACATAACCAAAGTCCCTGGAAACTACAAAAAAACCCACCCTCGGGACTTCCTTGTCCCTACTTTACAAAGGAAAGGTCGCCGGGCGGCGGCGGCGCACGCCTTTAATCCCAGCACTCGGGAGGCAGAGCCAGGCGGATCTCTGTGAGTTCGAGGCCAGCCTGGGCTACCAAGCGAGTTCCAGGAGAGGCGCAAAGCTACACAGAGAAACCCTGTCTCGAAAAACCAAAAAAAAAAAAAAAAAAAAACAAAGGAAAGGTCTTCACCCAAGGGCAGGCCCGCTCAGCAGCCGTCCTGCCAGCCTTGGAGAGGGCCCCTTTCCGCTTCCCACCTCTTCCTCCCCCCGCCTCCAGGCAGTGCTTCGGGGACGGCTTGAACTGGGCAGGCTGCTCCATCGTCGTCTTGCTGGGCCAGCAGCGGCGCTTTGACCTGTTCGACTTCTGTTACCATCTGCTGAAAGTGCAAAGGCAGGACGGGAAGGATGAGATCATTAAGAACGTGGTGAGCAGACGTGGCCGGCCGGGGAAGCCAGGCCTGGCAACAGGCTGGCTTCGGGGAGGAAAAGGGGGAAATGCTTCTGGGGGGGCGACGGCTATGGACAGACCCTCAGAAGTTGGGGGGCCGCCTGGAAAGGGCCTGCAAGTCACATGTTGTGATAGACCGGATCGCCCCGAAAAGCCAGCCTGGACTCCTGGTCTCAAATGTCCCTCCCCGGTCTCCGGCAGTCCCTGCCAGTCCTAGCCCTCATTCCCACAGCACGCTGAACGGTAGAGTCATGCCAGGCACCGGGAGAGAGGAAGGGTGTTGTGAGAAAGCAGCCCTTAAACTAGACAGCAGGGGTGGAGACAAGATCAGAGGTCTTCACAGGAGCTGGGACTTGGGCTAGGTGTGGGATGGCAGGCAGCACATGGGGCGATGGCCTGGATGGATTCCAGACACAGGGAGCAACTACCACACAGCACGGAGGCATACAGACAAGCGTCTAGCACAGCGGAGACGGCCAGGGGCCAGATGAGAGAAGGAGACACACACACACACACACACACACACACACACACACACACACACACACACACACACACACACGGGTTTTAAGAGTGGTGGTGGTCATGGTAACTAACCATTTCCTAGTATACAGTTCAGTGTTACATTAAATACCCTCACAGTGTCTTGCAACCAACATCCATCATGTCCCAAGCATTTTTACTTTCTCCTGCTGAAGCTCTGTGTCCATTTAAGCAGCTCCCCAGTCCCTGGTAACTACCGTTTCTCTTTGTGTGTCTCTAAACCTATGGACTCTGTGTACCTTCTGTAAAGGGGTCTGTCATGTTATGACTGGCTTATTATGTAAGACTTCTCCGTGTTACAGTGGGTCCGAATCCCATTCTTTTATGGTTAACTAGTATTTCATCTTATGCAAAACACAGTCCACTGGTGGAGCCTTGCGTTGCATTCACCTTTGGTGATTGGGAATAACAGTGAACTGTGAGCTTAGGCGGCCATCTGAGTCTCTTTTCACATCTTTGGAATATACACTCAGAAGTCTAAGTGCTGGCCATCTAGTAATTCTCTTTCATTTCTTGAGGAATGGCCATACTGTTTTTCCTGATGGATGCATTTACACTCCCACCAATAACACTCAAGAACCCAAAGTCCCATATATTATTGGGTCTTTACATATCTGCTGTAGAGAAATGTCTTTAAGTCTTTTCCCCGATTTTTTAATTGCTGCTTAATTTTTTTTCATATTTTTACTTCTTTTGTGTACAGTCATATATGTTTAGAGAAACCTACCTGCCACAGTGCCATGTGTGGAGGTCTGAGGCCAACTCACTGGAGTCAGTTGTCTCCTCCCAACATGTAGAGTCTGGGAATCGAACTGAGACCCTCAGGCTTGGCAGCAAATGCTTTTATGCCTTGAGCCATCTTACTGAACCTGGATCACAGCACTTTATGTATTCAGAATAACAACGTCTTACCTGTTTTACAAATCCTTCCATTCCATTGATGGTATATATCCTTTCATGCACTTGAAGTGCCCATTTCACTCTGCATTGGCTGCCAAATCCAACATCATGAGGAGTTATTCCTGTGCTTTCTTCTAAGAACATCATGGTTTGGCTCATACTGAAATCTCTTATCCATTTCCAACTTATTCTTGTATACAGTGTATAAAATAAGGTTCAATATTCTTCTGCATGTTGGTATCCAACTTTCCCAGCATGTATTGAAAAGGTTGCCTCTGATACATCCATACTTCAGATGGTCTTGTTTTCCTGTTCAATAGTTTGACTCAACACACAAGAGTGTGTTTCTAGCCATACAGTTCTATCTCATTGGTCTTCATGACGGTACTGTGCTATTTTGATTATGGTAGCTTTATTATAAGCTTTGAAACTTGCAAAGGTTATCAGTGACCTTTAGCATTTGGGAACCATAGAAAAGACCTTTAAAAAGGGAAATATGACCATTGAGACACCAAGAACCTGGATTCCAGCCCCCTCCTTTATTCCTATTCTAATCTAAGCATCCTCATCCTTCTACAGCCCCTGAAGAAGATGGCTGACCGCATCAGGAAGTACCAGATCTTGAACAATGAGGTTTTTGCCATCCTGAACAAGTACATGAAGTCCGTGGAGACAGACAGCTCCACTGTGGAGCACGTGCGCTGCTTCCAGCCCCCAATCCACCAGTCACTGGCCACCACCTGCTAGGCAGACAGTCCCGCAGACCTTCAACCTGGAGGCGGAGGAGGAGAAGCAGGAGAGGAAACACGGTGGTCAGCCTGCAGCAGGTCCAGCTGACAGTGTGTGGAACTGGCCTAGAAGGAAAAGAAAACCTCCCCAACACATCTGCACCACTCCCAAGGGCTGGGCTCCTGCATGTTCTCCTGTGATATCTCCATGGTGGGTTTTCCATAGTGTAAATGAAAAACAACAAAAACACAGGGCAGTGTGTGTTTTCTTATTTTTTTTTTTTTTACCTTGACTATATCTAAGAGCTATGATTCTATCCTGCGGCTCCCCACCCCATCTGTGTTTGCTTCCAAGACCACCTCCCAACATCATAACCCCCTACCCAGTATCCATATGTGATCCAGCACTGTAGTCTTAGGGACTAAGAAGAAGAGAGTGTAGCCATAGCAGAGGGATCTGCCTGACCCAATCGTGTGCCTCAGCTTACTGGCCTGTGTTCTGTGGCTTCCCCCTCCAGTTCACTGGTAACATTGCTCCCTGGTCGAGATGTTAGGGATTCCATCAACAAGGTTTGACCCTTGGTGAACCAGGAAGAGATTTCGGACTGTCAAGACAATAGATGATGTTGGCCAGGATCTTTTATAGTCTCCTAAGACCCACCCTAGACCCTCCTTGCAGACCAGTCCTAGAGAGAAGAAAAGGATTTCAAAACCATATCACAGTGAGTGGGAGTAGGTGAAGAAAGCAGCCAGGCCTACCGTGTAGAAGCAACCCTGTGGGCACAGGCCAAAACTTCAGATCCCAGAGGAGAGATGTTAGGCCTTGTCACCAGGGTGGGAAGATGAGGCACCCCTGTTCCTCATGCAGATGCTTAGCACTGGACCACATGGGTAATGGACATGTCGGCCATGGCACAACACATACCATTAGCCAGCGACCCAGTTAGTGAGTTCTTAACACAGGACCTCATCCAAGAAAATCCCACATGAAGGAACATGTTAAGGGGTTACTTCAACAGACACCTACACCATCTTGGAGACAGGGAGGCAAGGAGGAAAACTGCTTGTCAACAAGCTTTCAATCCCAAGACACACCCCCGCAAAAGTCGTCGTCTTTGAGCAAACTGGAATTTTCATCATGTCAGCTGCTGAAAGGCTTGGAACCTTTTATTCTTTTGCTCTCAACTTCCTGGTCCCTTCCTTTTACACATGTTCAGTGCTAGGGTAGAGATTCTCTCACAGGGGTGTTACTAACTTCTACTTTCCAGACTAACTAAAATGCCCCTGCAGAATCTCTACCTGTAGGAGATCTTTAAGGAGATGGCCATGTCTCCATACAGAGCTAGTCATCTGACTTGCAGAGGGAGGCCATAATTCTGAGCCCCCAAAACATAGGAAGTGGATTATAGGTACTCTGCCAACCCAGTGAGAAAGTGAGAGGAGAGAGGACTAGCCATCCCCTCCCCCAGGAAGATGACTGACATCCATCACCATGTTTAACCACACGGAGAACAGCAGAGATGTGTATACAGTGCCTTGAGACACGCGGCCATGTATTCCACAGTGAGGCCATGTAAATTGGAACCCTTGAGGGCCATCCACTTGAGTGTTCATTTCTGGACATGCCTCTGACGTACTAAGTCAGAATCTCTGGGAAGAGGGCCAGAAGATCTACTCTACTGCACACCACAGATTCAGAGCCCCTGTTCTAGGCTCTGCAGTCTAAGCAAGAACCGGCATCATTGGTAGTTTAGGGGCGTGGTTCAAAATGGAAACTAGTCAGTCCTCCTGTCTGGCACTGTCACTTCCTAGTCTCACCTTTTGTTTCCTTTGATGACCATAGATCTACCCCAGAGGCAGAGTCCACCTTCCAGATTTTCAGTCCTGGCTGGGACGAGTACTTGACTCTGAGATTACCAGATTTTACACTCTAGAGGCAGTCTGAAGCCCTCCATCCTTGCTCTGTAGAGATTGGGGCCATTCCCTTCATAAGTTGGCCTTTCTGGCAGCTCATCCCTCCCACCCTGCACTCATGACCCCAAAAGTTGACCCTCTGGGAAGAGTCACTTTCTCAAGAGATTTGATCCCAATAAAATGAGGTCCTCCCTTTGAGGGTGGGGCTCATGTTTCCTCAGCACTTGTCCGTGGATACTGGACAACTTCAATGTTCTTTCCTCTCTAGTGGTCCTTGTCCCCCCAGCCTTTTTGATTTTTTTTTATGTATTTAAAAATCAAGAAAAAAAATCTTAGATTTTAAAATGTTTTAAAGAATTCTGTTTCAGGAACTGTCAAATGTGTACCATATTTGTATTAAGAGTTGTTGGGGGATTTTTGTACAATGAATTGACATTTATTTATGGTGAACTTATATTTACGCTCGTGATCAAATGATGTTAAATTCTTAAATCATATTTGCTATGCAGCTGAAGATGATATTTTGATTTGTATTTTGGGGGTACCTGTGTTTAGTTGATAAACATTTTCATCTCCATTAAAATCCGCTTCCAAACCAGTCAAACCAGCATGTTTATCCTGATTTCTTGGCCACATTCCAATCCTCATTGATCTGTGGAGGCCACATTAAAACTGAGGTCTAGAGAAACAACCTAAAAGAAAATAGAAAAAAATTAAAATATAGCACATATATTCACTCTAAATGGAGTTATTTTATTTTCTCACCAAAGGAAGAAAACTTTTAAAAAATAAAATTATAACCTTTGTACCTTTAAAAAAATAAAACTGTCTTGGGTTCTGGGGATTACTCAGTGGTTAAAGCATTTGCTGAGCCAATCATGAAGACTAGAGTTCAGATCCCCAGAAACCCACATAAATGCCTGGTGGGGGCAGCTCATCATCCATAACTCTAGCTTCAGAAGGCAGAGCAGAGGACCCCCAGACCAAGGTAGCTAGTGAGACTAGCCAGGTGGCTGAGCTCCGGATTTGATTGAGAGACCCTCTCTCAATAAATAAGGCTGAAGAATAAATCGGGTATGATTCCGCTATCAACTCACAGTCTGAATATGCATATACCACAACACGAGTGTGTCCACAAACACATGCACACCATACACAAAAGTGGAAAAAGAGAAATAACTGTTTTGCACTAGGCAGGGTAGAGGAAGTTAACTCCTGCTCTTGGGAATGATTCAGTCCCTTTGCAGCTGTAGTTTTGAGGGGAAAGACTGGAAAACTAATATTTGATGGAGCTTAATGTATATAGGTACATTAATGTATATAGGTATGCTAAATCTAGCCATTCTTTTAAGTATCTGCCATCACTGTATGGTGCACACTTTACACACATTTTTACACAGTACACGAGACAATTTGTTTTCACCTAGATACAAGTATCAGTGCTGGAATTTGAAGAGAGCTCCAAAACCTGGACTGATCCTCAGACCAGATCCCCCAAACTAGATTAGGAAGTTTGGTCAGTGGGCCTTCAGGGACTCTAAGGCAGTATGATTGAGCAGTCTGGTGTCAGGAGGGAGCCCAGCATGATGGTTGAGAAGTCCCCAGGCTCAAGCAGGACCAATGCCTAGAAAGTCATTGCTTTCATCAAGAATGTATTGATTGTGTAGCAATTAGAAGGATGTGCTTAAACCAGCATCACGGACTCAGGGCCTCACATTCCACAGAACCCCAGATTTCCCAATGACCATCTTCTTCAGCTGCATGCTAAAGCCACCAGTGGTCAACTTGCTGCCGTGACCTGGGCCAGCCTTTAACCTCTGAGGTCCTGGGTTTCCTTATCTATCTAGGCTCCCTTCCAGCCCTTGTTCTAGAAGACTTCCCAGCAGTGTCCTTTGAGGGGCCTGGCTGCAAAACACAAAATCTTTCAGCTGCCTCCAGAACTTGTCATTTTGTAGGGATGATGGGATGCAGGATACTGCCACGTATTTGAACTAGTTTGTTTCCAGCACAGTTATTCCCCAAGGGGAGCTTAGGAGAGGACCGTTTTCTCTCGCTTGCAGGTTCCAGTATGAGGATGCAAGGTTATAAATTCTCAGGAAGTCAATGCCACCCACGAAAGCAGCTAACAAAGCTCCAGCTCCAGACCCAAAGAAAGAGGTCTGTGATATAAAGAGTTCAGAACGTTCTCTTTAAGAAGTTCCGTGAACTACAAGACTATACAAACAAAAGCATTAAAACAAATGTTGGGAAATACATAGAAAAACAGGAAGGGATTGAAGAGAGGAGGAGGGGGAGGAAGAGAAGGGAGGAAAGGTGGAGGAGGGAGGGAGGAAATGAGAAAGGGAGGAAGTAAGGGAGGAATAGGGAGAGGAGGAGGGAGTAAGGGAGGATGAATGAGAATGTTCAGTAAACATTAGGAAAGAAAGAAGTGAAGGATCCAAACTCCCTAATCTGAAGAGAGACATCAGCCTAGACACAGGAAGTACAGAGATCCAAACTGAACCCCAAAACTAGTTCACCAAGACCTAGAGCATCCAAACTATTACAAATCCAATCCAGGAACTGGGGATGGGACTTAGTAAATGCTTGCCTCACAAGCATGAGGATTTTTGTTCGGGTCTCAAGCACCCATGTAAAAAGTCAGGCATGGCAGTGAGCACCTATAATCCCTGTGCAGGGGAGGTGGAAACAAGAGGCCCTCTAGGGCCTGTGGATTGGCTAATCTGACCAAATTGGAAAGCTGCAAGCTCATTGAGACTTGTTTCAAAAACTAACGTGGCTGGGCATGGTGGCACAGGCCTTTGATCCCAGCACTCGGGAGGCAGAGGCAGGTGGACCTCTGTGAGTTTGAAGTCAGTCTGGGCTACCCAGCAAGTTCCAGAACAGCCATGGCTACACAGTGAAACCCTGTCCCAAAACAAATAAGAAAAAAACTAAGATGGAACATGACTGAGGAAAAGAGCTCATAATGATTTCTGGTCTGCGCGTGCACACGCGCGCGCACGCACGCGCACACACACACACACACCCGGGGGGTGGGGTGGGGTGGGAGAAGGAGAGATCAAAACCAAAATTCTGTGAACAGAAAGAGATAAGAAAAGCATCACATAAAAAGTCAACAGTTTAATTACCAACAGATTTTTTTCATCAGAAACTGTCTGCAGGCCAGAGACAGAGGGAGAATATCTTCAATGTGTGGAAGCAAAAAAAAAATACAATCCTTCTAACCATGAATGTTTTACCCATGAAAATTGTCTTTCTAAAATGAGAGAGAATACAAATGCTTCCAGGTAGTCTGTAGCTGAAGAGTTATTACCAGCCCAGGCTTATAGAAATTGAAGGGAATACTTTTAAGTCCAAACAAAAGCCTGTGAACTCATAAAGTCCACAAAAGCACAAGACAATGGCAGAATATTATGGGGTACAATGGGGTATATAAAGCAATTTCAACCCTAGTATGAGGTCTAAAATAGGGGAAAAATTTATGACTCAGCTAAAGTTCTCAAGGGGTACCTATTACAGAGTGATGGGAATTCTGATATCAAACCTAAAATGTGGGAGTGGGAGATAAAAGCATACAGATGTAGGCAATTAACTTTAGAATGTTATCAGCTTTGAATAATTCTCACAAAATGGTAACCACAAAGCAAAAATCTGTACCAGAAACAGAAGAAAAATCAAAAGAATTCGAAGCTACAAAATGCATCTAACCACAAAAGAAAGAGAAATAACATATTTATAAAAGAACCAGAAAACAGTTAACATTAACTAACAATAACTGTCTTGAGTATACATGGATTAAATTCCCCAATAAAAACTCAGTGAATGAATGGAATCTTATCTTGTTTTCTGTTTTTGAGACAAGGCCCAACTGTGTTTTCCTAGCTGGCCTTGAACTCAAAGAGATCTGCCTGCCTCTGTCCAGCTGATATTAAAGGCAGGCATGCACCACCATGACCAACCCAAGTAAATGAATTGTTAAAGGCCCAAAGACATATGCATACAAGAGACTCACTTTGTTCCCAAGGATATATAGTCACAAAGCATGGAGAAACATGACACCCGAATGGGAACCAGAGAGATCAAGGTAGCTGTATATGACAAAAGAAATGTTCACACTGTTTGAAGAGATGCCTATTGACATTATACAATATGAAGGAGCTAGTTAGTCAGGAGGCTGTGCCAATGGTAAATATGTATTCATCCAACCTAGCAGCTATAAATATAGAAGACAAATATCAAAGGATCTGTGGGAGAAAGAGATTACAATGTGGTATTCATAAAGGTTTGCAATAACCCACTTTTAACATTGAGATCCACAAAGAAAATGAAGAAGGAAATACAGGAATTAGGCAATGCTTAAAAAACAACCAGCAAATGTCAAGTGTACTCATCCAAGAAAAGAAAAGCCAACACTGAATAGCAGTACAAATCCCCAAAACACATCTTTTCGAAATTCATGCAGCCTTAGACAAGCCAGAATTCATAGAGTGCCAGCGGACTCTGAATGGCTGAGTGTGAGTATGCAAATAAGGTGAAAAAATACAACCAATCAAGGAAGAGCTGCCAAATCTGTAGGGGAGGGGAAGAACCCTGAGGTGCTGAAAGTTACTAAAAGGTCTACGTCTCTGCAGAGGTAGTGACACTTGTAAGAAAGTGTCAGTCTGGTCAGCTGTCACCACTACCTTGCAGGCTGGCTGCGGCTTCCCTGGTAGGGTGGAAGTAAGGGAATGGGGGGGGGGGGGTTCTTTTTGTTTCTTGTACTATCTGCTCTGCAAACAGCCATTAGTCATCTGCTCTCTGTAGCTCTTTTGGCCTCTGGAGTTGAGCCTGCTGACTGTCACAAAGCTGGAGCATGGCGACACCTACTCCAAGCAGATACATATACGGGGATGTAGCTCAGTGGTAGAATGCTTACCTAGTGTGCATGAAGCCCCCGAGGTTGAACCCCAACACTCAACCAAACCTGTAATCCTAGTCATGGAAAATGGAGGAAGGAGGCAGGAGAATCAGAATTCCAAGGTCATCCTTGACTTCTTAAAGCATTTGAAGGAAACAACTGTCACCTCTGAACGTTATCTAGATAATTTATCAAGATGATCTGGGTAAGCCTACAGCCATGGCACTGGCTTCAGCCAGAAACCCAGAAATACTTTTTGCCCACAGATAGCACACAGCTCGAATTTACTAAGAGACATAGTGATAACTGTGCCTCTGTATCTTTTTTTTTTTTTTTGAGGGGGGAATTGAGGGAGGAACATAAAGACTAAGTTTTTGTGGATCTGCTCAAACATCAAACATTTAGGGAAACATCAAATTTCACTTTCAGATGCTAAATGCTATTGCTGACAAAATGTTAATGGGATTAAATTCAGACAAGATAGAAAACACACTAGAAGAATTAAGTAAAACGAAACACCCTCAACCACATAAAGAATGTGGTCTTCAGCCGGGCGGTGGTGGCGCACGCCTTTAATCCCAGCACTCGGGAGGCAGAGCCAGGCGGATCTCTGTGAGTTCGAGGCCAGCCTGGTCTCCAAAGCGAGTTCCAGGAAAGGCGCAAAGCTACACAGAGAAACCCTGTCTCGAAAAACCAAA